TTCATGGCCGACCATGTCACGCATGACATGCAGCGACTCCTTCGATACTCAAGCAGCGCTCAGTGGTTTATGTGTCACTTCACGTGTATCATGGGAGCCTCGCCCTCGATGCCTCGGCCCTTAGCCGACCATGTCACACATGACATGCAGCGACTGCTCCGAAACTTGAGCAGCGCTCAGTGGTTTACGTGCCACTCCACGATCAGCCCGCGCACGACACTCGGGACTCCTGTCCGATTCACCGTTGGTGTCTACCAACTCGAACATTCCAATGTCCAGCACGTTGGCCGCCTCGGTCCAGTGCTCTTGCCAATTGCGCTTTTGTCTCCTAGCAGAGGTGGGTTCATCACTCGCCAAAGCTCCACCAGGAGACGTGCGCGTAGCGCCCAAGGTCGTTGACCTCCAGTCAATCCATGACTCATGATGTTTCAGCCATGCCATTCCTAGGATGAGGTCATACCTTGCATCCAGGTCTAAAACTAGACAGTGTTCCACGCTATCAAAGTCAATAAACTTGACTCCGAGGTCCACAGGGACATTCGGGACCGTGACACGTGTCCCCGTCGCTAGGCAAACAGTGACAATGTCACCCAACCGCACTTTCAGCGCCTCAGCATACAGCTGACTCCCCTCTCTCGAGCATAATTTCCCGACGCCCCAGAATCTATGAGTTTGTTCCGTGGCTTTTCGAAGCCCTTTACGGTCGCCTCCACGACCAGCAAGCCCGGCTTGCACACACGTTCTGTGTTTGAGAGCGCGGAGCTTTTCGGGGCTGGGCCCTGTTGACCTATGCCTCCCTGAGGTTAAATAGAACTCAATTCTTCACCAGTAGGTCGCCCCACGCCTACTGAGTGGTGTCGTTGAGAGCGACGAACCAGACTGGTAAGCGTTGGGGCGATGGTTCGAAGACCATTGACACGCCTTGCACAGGGGGCATCCGTTCCGCAGGTGACGGGTGTCTCCACAGACAAAACACCGTCAAATGTGTGTATGCTGCCCGGCAGCTCGGAGTTCTGCTCCCTCATCCTCAGCATAGCTGAGATCCATGGGCATAGGGCTGCTCCACGAGCTGTTGGACTGTGCATTCCAACCAAGTCGTGTCGACTTGAAATTAAATTTAGCATTCAATGCCACATTCACCGCCTCTTCAAATGAGGACGGATGCACACGGAATCTTCTGTTCTGGCCACGCCAGTGCGGAGGCCTTCCATAAACACGGTCATTGTGACCGCCTCCGGAAGGGGGTTTGTTGCCCGTGAGGCAAAGCTTACCAATTCCTTGTTGCCCTGTCGGGCGGCAAGGAAACGCGATCGCGCGCGATACGTCTGATTAGGCGGCGAAATTACTCGTGAGAGCTGCAATTTCAGCTCCGCCCAGGAGGGAAACGCAGCTCCGACCGAAGTGCCGAACGTCAGTGCCCATTCTCGCGCTCGACCACCGAGCTCTGAGATGGCTAGCGCCACACGCTGTTGCTCGGTCTGGAGCATGGCGGATGTGATGGCTATCTCAACCATTCTCACCCAGAGTAGGAGATTCTCTCCATCCTTCCCCTCAAAGACCTTAACGCTCACCATGAGCGGCT